TGGGAGAGCGCTCTGGTTCTCCGCGATAAGGTGCACCTGAACAGCGATGATTCCCGGGTGACTCCTGACGGAACGTTCATTGCCAAGCAGAGACCCGCATGTGCTTACATGTCCCATGCCGTTGCTCTAAGACTAGGTGAAGATATTCCAGGTACGGCGTGGACTAAGCTGTCCGATCAGATCTGGGTCGACCTGGAGATCGCGCTTGACCCCGATATGATCATGACCGGTCTCCATTATGACGAGCGTTTTTGTTCCCGAGTGGTTGCGGTGCCATCAAAGATGCAGACCGCAGACTTTGCAATCTCTCATGGGCTGACGACGGGCGGCGTGCTTGCACGAATTTGCGCTGCTTTCTTTCGGGATGTTGTTTATGCCCGCATTGCGAGAGAATTTTCTCGTGGCTCTGCAACGCACGCGCGCATCAATCCATCTCTGTCTCCAGAGGCGTGGTCTTCGCGCGACGCGCCTAACCCGGAAACTAACATTCGTCAGTCGCGAAAAGGCGCACGTTGCAGGACAATTCTTCGACGGCTGCCACCATCAAGTCGCAGGAATATGACAAACACCAGAAACAATTTATTGAGATGGCAAAGGCGCGACCCATAACACCGAATGCAGGTATTACCGATATCGCCAAAGGGCCCTGGCTTGACTTATCGTAGAGGGTCGAGAAAGCCAGCGACAAGTCGCCCATGCGCCACGAATCATGCTTCCGCCTTTTTGGGTCATTCCAAAAGAGGGAGACGGTGCGACGGCCGTTGATTGGCGGCCTGTTCTCTGGCAGCGCATCGACCAGACTGCCGCGCCGACGTCGCGCCCGCCGTTGGCTTCATTCGCAGGGTTAAGCGTTGGAGATGACCAAGTTCTTTCTGCAGGCGAGTTGGAGATCTGGGAGGGTGAATTGACGGCAGGTGGGACTCACCCCCTCGCTGCCACCTGGCTGGTGGACTTCTTCCTCAGCGGGCCCAACAGACCATGCGTGCGAGGCGCAGCCATCGCCTTCGCTTGATTCGTTAGCGTGTTACCCGGCAATGAACGTGAAGGTGTTTCGGGACAGCCCACATCGCGCATCGAACTCAATGGCGGGACATCAGATGTCTCTGTGGTCCTGGGGCCCGATCGGGCAAACTTCCATGGCAAAGACATGCCTCCGATGAGTCCAGGTCCGCAGGGTGTTCAACATCCTGCGACCGTCCAACTCAAAGAATCACAGGATGGCGGGGACGATAAAGATGGTCAGTCGTTGCTCAATCTTGCACGCGCAGAGGCGAACTCGCCAGGGACAAAACAGTGGGGGATGATCTTGAAGAAGGAAGATACGTTGGTACTCGATTTCAATATCCGGTGGATGTATGTACTGATCCCACTGCGGAGATCGCCGTTAAACATATGTGCACGCTGCAAAGACAATTGCACGTCGATACATGATGGAATCTGTGAATGAAGGAGAGAGCACCGATGCCGCAGCCGCCGATCAACAACTCACAACATGTAGGCACGTTCTGGGGCAAACAGATGACCGACCGCGTCGCGTGAGGTCACTTAGGACCTTAGGCATCGTTCGAGAATGCGTTGCAGGCTATCTTCCAAGGCAACGATACGTGGCTTCCCTGGACGGACCAGTCGTCTCGGAAAACTCATTCGGACCGTGACATGGCCCCAAACAGATGAGGAGAGACGCCTAACCAGAATACCGCCACGATTGCAGATGGAATTCTGCCAGCGCGCAAGCAGCGCGGTGGACGCGATGTCGGTCCAACCAATACTGCTGGAATTCCAACGGATGTTGAGATGCACGTGGTCGCAGCGAGCGCAGAAATTCAGGCGCAGATCGACCTTCGAGCTCAACGCCGGCCCAGTCCGCCGCGCGCGCGGCGGTCCAGGCCCGTTCTGCATGGGAAAATGCGTAGCGCGTGCAGAGGCCCTGGCCCATTCTTTGTGGGAAAGTATATCATGCGCGAGGGGCCAGAGCCGCCGCGCGCGCGGCGGCCCTGGCTCGTTCTGCATTGGAAAATGTATAGCGCGCGCGGCGGCCTTGGCCCATTCTGTGCGGGAGGAGGATGCCATGCGCGAGGAGCCAGGGCCGCCGCGTGCGCGGCGGCTCTGGCCCGTTCTAGATTGGAACATGCAAAGCGCGTGCGGTGGCCCTGGCCCATCCTGTGCGCGCGAAGGCCCTGGCCCGTTCAGTGCATAGTGCGTGCGGCGGCCCTGGGCCCCCGCAGGCGCTGGGCCGCCGCTGCCGCCCTGGCCGGCGGCGGTTTCCGCCGCCACTGCTGCCGCCGCTGCCGCTGCCGCTGCCGCTGCCGGCTCCCCGGCGGCAGCGGCGGCGGCGCAGGGCGCGGTGGCCGGCGCCGCCGCGGTCGCCCCCGCGGCCGCCGGCGGCGCGGCCGCCGCCGGTGCTGCCGCCGCTGCAACACGATGGAGGGCGCTGCCAGCTCAGCCAGCGGCGCCGCTCATGCTGGGCCACGGGAAGCAATGGAAATAGAGACCGGGGCTAGCGAGGCCACCGGATCAGCCGGTGACCACTGGCATGTCTTCCAGAACGCTACGTTATTGCTGCCTGCGCCGAAAGCTGCGGCCGCTGATGGGCGGCCCCTCTGGCAGCCTTCGCCGCCTGGGCAGCCGCTGCTCCGTGCTGGGCCGCGGGGGTGCCGCTGCGCCGTCGGCGGAGAGGCGCCCGGGCTTGTATGGAACTAATCCTCCTCGCTCTGCAAAACCAGGAAACCTTGAAAATACTACAAAAATAGTCCCAGAATGCACTTTGGACACTTATGTTAAAATATTCCAAAAATACTCTTGGAATTATCAACAAATCCTTTTGCTAAACTAAATTTTCTGATCGATGTCCCAGCACCCCGCGCGCCATATAATGATGTAGAACAGCGTTGCACAAAAACCGTATTATCATATCACCACAACACAACACAACACACCACAACACACATAACACAACACAACACAACAACACAATACCATGGCATACCACAAAACAAAACCATAACAGGGCGTTGCGTAGCCACCTACCCTATGACCGCGCCCAGCTGATTGTGAGGATGTCTCGAGCGATGCGCTGGTTCCAGCCCACCCAGGGGGGAGCCGCCAGGGGGGTAGGACAGTCCCCCGGCACCCTCCCCGACGGCCTGTTCCGACGACCTTCCCCGTCACTTGCTGTTTTGGATCGAACCCTTCCCGACGGCCCTTCCCGACGGGCCCTTCCCGACTGCCTTTCCCGACGGCCCTCCCCGACGCCCGCCATGACGGGCGATCCGTTGACCGAACCGATCCTCATCTAATGAAGCGGCGCCCTGCCGCCGATCGTGATTCGGGCAAGTTGGCCGACGAGATTGCGTTGCTTGGTCACAACGGCGAGCTCAACGTGACAGCGAGAGACGGGCATTGGACAAACAGTGGGGTCATTGGAAACCGTGGCCTGAGGACAGAGAGAAACGGATACTGACGCACCATCGAGCCTTGAAGGCGGCCCGAACAAGCAGCAGCGACGACAGCAACACCGACGACAGCGACAGCGACGACACGTCAGACAACCCGCCAGGGCCGTCGGCGGCGCCATCAGCCGCGGCACCGACATCTTCGGCGTCGGCGGCAGCATCAACCACAGCATCGGCCTCATCGGCGGCAGCATCGGCGGCGCCAGCCGCAGCACCGACATCTTCGGCGTCGGCGGCGCCATCAGCCGCAGCACCAACCACAGCATCGACCTCATCGGCGGCAGCCTCGACGGCACCAGCCGCCGCACCAGCGCCAGCACCAGCCGCGCCGCCGACGGTGACTACCTCGTTCAATGTCGACGTTGGGGGGGCAAATGCGCCAGGCAAGATTACTTACTATCCAAATCGTGGAGGGCGCTTTGAGGCAGTGCGCTATTTCCATGGGTCCCAATGTCGCCGCTCGCGGTCAGCGGCTTCACCAAAAGGTAAGCGAATCCTTTCTAATCCAGGTCAGGGCCGTTGCATCGGTGAGCTCATTGCGTGGTTGAAGGCTGGGCCGAAGCTCCCAGCAGAGCAGCATCAGTGGTTTGATTCAGATAAGGTATCACGAGTTTTGGCCAGGTCCGAAGCAAAGCAGTCGGCCCACGGTCAAGCAATCCTTGCGCGCGAGCGCACGAGGGAGATGTTCTCAGACAGCGAGCCCGAGGGGCCGTTCTAGGCGATCGGCCGCTCCCAAAACAAGACCATTGGCAGCCTTGCATCATTGCCTGTTTCGGCCCGCCCCTGGCCACAGCAAGGCCCTTGCATCCTGCCACGTGGGCCCGTCCATGGCCAACCCATAGCTCTGGACAGTCCGTTTTCGGATTTGCTGGCCCAGGGCCTTGCATCCTTACATCGCGCTCGTGATGTGAGTTCGTTGGGTTGGATTGCATTGCGTTGGGTGCCCATCCACCCCGTGCCCCCGCATGTCGAATCCGTTGTCAAGGGTCTTCCCAGCGTGCTTGAGTCGGATTGGATTGCGTGCCTGCTTGTTCCCCATGTTCTTGGATTGTATACCCACCCCTCCAATCTTGCACGATTCATCCGAGACGCTTCGCGTGCCAGCCCGTCCAGAAACGATGCCCATGATGGACTGCCTGGAAGAAGCTCTTGGGGCCATCTTGCACACTGCCATGTTGGCCCCTCTCGGGGCTATTTCGGGAGATGTATTGGCCCGCCCCCGTCTGCCCTGAGTGTTGAGCAATCTTGGATGGCATCTCACTGCTCCTTGATGAGGGTGATCGCGGGGCCACCTTGGGGCACCTTGGGGGTTCAATTGCCGCATCAGGCCCCGCCCAGACCGCAGGGGCGGGGGGTTCGGGGGGCGATGAAACCACCCCCGAATGGGAATGGTGGGTGGTGGAAGAGAGAAAACCGCCATATGCGTGAGAACAGTTCGCCCGAGGGGGTGGTGAGGGGCCAGTTGCACTTTGGTTGGGGTCCTCGCCGTTTTGGCTCGTTGCGGCTTCGAAGCCTCGTCGCCCCCTCGCGCGTGAATGTAGTGCCCAGGTTGGGCGACAGGCGCGGCGGCGACCTCGCCCTTGCGAGGGCGGCCGCGTTGGGGAGCAAGCGCCAGCGCAACGATATTGCTCAGCAGGAAAAGTTGTTTCGAGAGCAGTTTCAGGCGCCGCCCCACGTGATCACCCAGAGCTTCTCGAACAGCTCGTTCCTCGTGGCACCGCCGCTCATCGACCACGTCGGGAACTTCTTCGCCCGTTGCAGACAGCGGGAAGATTGGGGGGTGGAGAGTGGTGAAAACGTTCGCAGTGTCGCTGCTATTCTTTTCGAGAAGCAGGACTTTGGCTTCGCACTTGCAACTTCGAGGGTCCAGTCGCATGAGCTCGGCGTGCATAGACAATTTCTCGGAAAGACGAGCAAGCTGCTGTGCGCTGCGACTTGGCTTCTGGATCGGTTCCGCCGCCGCTTGTTCGGACAGGCAGCTGTAGCCAACACATCAATCAGAGCCCTGCAGTTCGTGGACAGTGTTGGGTACGACGAAACTCCATTAAAACTCAAGGATGGCGCACCGAAGACCGACAGAGGCGTTAAGGCTGATGGTAGGCCTCTGCCGAAAAAGGTATTGGAGATGTTGCCAGAAGACAAAAGGCGATTCCCACCAAGGTGTTACAGACGCAGCAGAGATTCGGCATGTTGTTCGCGCGTGGCCCTCCAGGCGATCTGCAATCTTACACCATAGTCATTGGTCGGACAATGGCCCAGGTCCAGCCCCTATGGCGGAACACCCCAGGCTGTATCATGGCTGCCCTGAGAGATACGTGCGCCACGTCGCTCACCGAGTGCAGGTTTGATGAGTTTAGCCGCATCGCCGCCGTGGATCGACACCCGAGCAATCTGTGCGTCGAGCGCCGCATCAATCGGAGGACACAGAAACGTTTTGACAATTGGACGTCTATCCTTTTCAAATGTGAACAGCACATGTTGCAGAGTGCGCGGGTATTGGCAACGTGGAAGTTCTCCCACACGATCACGGGTATGATCAACTTGTCTTTGTCGCTGGACCACCAGAACAATTTAGCGATATTCAGACAATGCATGTACGAAGTCCTGATGCACCGTTGCAAGGTAATCGACACGCCTTCCAGCCCAGATGCAGTGATGAGGAAAAGATTGATTTTGTCGTGGTTCGTATCTAAGAAAGCTAACACTGACGTAATTGTGCGGGGTCTGCTTGACTTGTTCGCGTCGGGGGATTGGAACAGCAATATATTGGAGATCTACGTTCCACCTGGCACTGAGTATGACGAGCAGTCGTTGTTCAGTACAGTTTCGAGCGGCATTGCGAAGGCCCTCGTATTCAGAAACTTCACGGTGTACCAGCGGAAGAAATGGATGGGCGCAGACGAGGCGCGCTGCGACTTCGCGTTGCCCCTTCCGTTAGGGAACGTGCTGGTTGAGGCGCACAAGGTTTTCTGCGATCGCATCAACGGCCTGCCATATCGACCTGCTGCGCACCATCCAGGTGGCGATGCTCCAGCGGCAGCCGCGCTCGGCGCCTTGCTCGACGCTGGAGCCCTCCCCGACGAGGAGGCGATGGAGGCTCGGCGAGACGATGCAGTCATCGACCCGAGGGGGCTGGCCCCCATTGCCGTAGCAGCGGCCGAGGTCGCGAGGAAGCGCAAGGTAGCTTTGGATTGGCTGATGTGCAGGACCAGAAATTCGCCATGTTCCCAGGTCGCGGTGCTCAAGATGATACTGTCTATCTTGCAGACAATGCAGGCGGAGGAACTCTACATCGGGCCCAAGAAGTGGGAGCGGCGCCAGGAGGCGCAGGCTGCGCGGCTGGCAGGGCAACCCAATACGGGCAAACTGCTTCGCACATACGCAGTGTTGGTGCACGCGGAAGGCGAGATCGAAGCTCGAGCATTGAAGAGAATGCGGACCCTTCTTTTCGAGCATCGCATTTGGATACTGTTGCGGGATGGAGATATGACAAACGATTTGAAAGCAGACGCATTTACAAGCTTATCGCCGGCAGGGGCCTACATCGAGGACTTGATCGCGGGCCCGCATTCCCAACCACCGTGGACTTTGTTTCTCATGCTTAACCATCCCGAGCTCGCAGATGCAATCCAGCAGACGCCGAAATGCCATTTGGACAGATGGGGTAGGAAATTCTTGGAAAGAAATGACATCCGCACAGGCGAGGCCAAAATGAAGCTCTTGGTGCACGCCATCCTCATTTCAACGAACACTGATCACCTCGAGGTCTCGAACTCACATATTCGCCGGATTGTGAAAAAGCATGTGCAATGCCAGCAGGCTGATCCAATTGGGCTCTACGAAATTGATGGCTGCTTGCATTCGCGCCTGGAGTACGGCGCCACGAGTTTCTGTGGATTCTGGGGCAGACACCGAGGGCACCGACGAACACAATCCTGGCGGTCCAAAGTATGGTGGCGGCGGCGCATGGCGTGCTTTCGCGAGGAAGCAGAGGTCGAATGATCTGGCAGAGGTTGGTCGCCTGTATCGGGCCCTCAAGGACACCGTCGGTTCTGAGGTGCTGGAGCAGTGTATCGCGGAGGGCAAGGCGACCACAGCGAGGCGGCGAAGGGGGGAATCAGTGTTCGGCATGAAGCGTAGCAAGGTCGATCGCCTGCAAGAGCAACGGTACTTGGTGGCCAGGATGTCGGAGGGCAATCTTGAGAGTGCAGTCGACAAGGTGATCAGCGACGCGCAGACGTATTCCTACGATGTCGCCGAGACGATGCTGCTGACCAATAGATTGCGCAATACTCGTGCTGCAAAGCGACGCGAGGAGGAAGATAAGGACTCCATGGACATTGCCGCCTTCGAGGCAGCTGCGGCCGAAGCTCGGCGGGGCGAGCTCGCCAGTCAGATGCCCGAGGCTGCCAGCCATGTTTCAGGACTGAGAGTGGCCCCTGGCCCCATCCACGGCATGGGGGTGATGGAAGCCGACGTTGGGTCGGCTTGTGCAGACGCCACGGGTTTGATTCAGTACGTGAATGATATGCAGAAACATCAGAAGAATTTCATGGCATCTTTGGGTAATTCTTGGAACTTCCTTCACAGGACGATGCGCGACGATGCCGCTGATGCAGGCAAGTCGAGCGATGAGGAGGAGGAGCATCGCCATGGTTGCTGCTGGGGCCTGGGCGTCTGCATATGCTCGGATGCTGGGGCGCAGCTTTGGCGTTTTCGGAACTCCGTGCTGCTCGCCATGAAGGCCATGTGCCCGAGGAGCGGGTGCAACCGCAGGACGCTGCTCAAGGACGGTCACATCGTCCTGCGATTCGAGTCGTCGCTTGCTGACGGTGCAGATGATGCTTTGGCTGACTTCTGGGGTCTCGGCACGGACGTCCGCTATTGGCGCGTCAGCAGCCAATCCTTGGCGCCATTTGTGCCGCGCGTGCAGGAGATGACCGTGGCCAGTGATGAGGAGGCACTTGGCGCCAACCGAAGGGGAGATGAGATTGCACCCAAGGTGGGTCGTGCGAACTGGGGCGTGGGGGCATGTGGTTGGGGCCCAGAGCTACAGAGCCACATCTTGTTCCATGGGGCCCCTGGCGCCTAGCTTGCCCCCATCATCAATTCCATTGGCGATGTCCACGAGGGCAGTCTGGGGGTCTGGAGGAGCGGCGCTGGCCGCGGGCACTAGCATGTTCAAGCAATAGCGCCGACAATGGTGAAGTGAGGCCTTCGGGGGGCCTCTGGGCTCTTGGCTCTTGGCCCGTGGTGCTATCTTGGGCCTTGGGATCTTGGGTATTTGGTCTTGTGCACTATTTGATAGATTCGGGCTTTTGCCACCCCCACCATTGGGGCTCTCCTTGATCTCCTCGGGAGTTTCGGGCCATTTTCTGAGTTGTAGCCTGTAGGCCTGTAGCCTGTAGGCTGTAGGCTGTAGGCTGGACCGGTGGATATCATTAGTTTGCGCATCACCGCTCGGATGTGGCATAGCGCACAACATCATGTTTATGGCCTCTTGTTGCACTCTTGGGTCATGGCGTCTTGACTCTAGGGTCTACTGTCTAATGTCTAGGGTCTTGGGTCTAGGGTTTAGGGTCTAGGGCTCGCATGGTGCCACCTGGAGCCTGGGCCCCCCTGGAGCTGTCTCTGCACGCATCACACCCTTCTGAGGCCTCGCGATCTTGGGGCAATCTTGAGGCATCATTGGCTTATGGGGCCCATCGGTAGCGACACTGTGATAAAGAATAGTGCGCAGGGAACGTCTATATTCTATATATTACTATGTCTGGTGCTTTCTAAGCTATGGGCCCCGAGCCGCATTCCCGCTGCGCTCTCGGAGGGCAGCGACTGATTGGTGCAACCTGTATGTGATGGCTGAGCGGTTTTCGTTCAACCTGACCTGGCGCATGTCCTTGTTGGAGCTCGCCACGCACGCACGTTCATGCCCTCGTTTCCAGCCCGCGGTGCCTCTCTTCAAAGAGTTTTACCCGCCCGTGGAGCAGCGACAGGTATGGCCTGCACTGCCGCGCAGCAGGGGTCGGCCTGGACCTCGGGGCGGCCGTGGTGGAGGCGACGGCGATGGCCGCGGGCGCGCGCGCGGCCGCAGTGGTGCCCGCGGGAGAGGGCGAGGGCGCCGCGGGCGCGCCGCTGCCGCGCCTGCCGCGCCCGCGCCGCAGCCAGAGGCGGGGCGCGGGGCTGGGGCGCGCGGCCGCGGCCGCGGTGGAGGCGACGGCTACGTGCATGAGCCGTGGCTGGAGGGCTCGGACGTCGGCTCCGATGACGGCATGGGCGGCGGAGACGACGTGCGCATCGATGCACACTTCGACGAGCGCGACGAGGCCGAGGGGTCAGACGTCGGCTCCGACGGCGCGGGCTCGGGCGCGAATGATTCAAGCTCGGACGGATCTTGGGAACAGCACGGCTCCGACGAGGAGCTCGGTCTTTAATTACACCAGCCCACCTCCCCCATCCTTCCGGTTTCGGATGGGGTGAGGGGAGGGACATATACGGGGGCGGGGGGTAGGGTAGGGTCAAGCCGTCAAGCCAGCTCGAGCGAGTCAAGCATTGCATGCCCAGTCCCATGCGCCCTCCCACAACATGAGAAACAGTGATGGGTGGGACGCGGTGGTAACGGGATGGGAAATCGGTGGGGTGGGGTGTAGTGTGTAGTGGGCATGGGGTGGGGTAGGGTAGAAGGGGGGAAGGCTGTGGGAAGCGGCGGGAGGAGCGGATGAGCAGTGATCATGATGGTGGGGGCGGAATGCGATGGGGAGGGTGGGTGGGTGGGGGGGGGGGAGGATAAGGATGCGTTGATGGCCCGAGCAGGTTGGGGGAGAGGGGTGAGGGAGGGGCGATGCGCGAAGTAGTATTGGGAATTAGGAACTAGGAACTATGATGCTAGGTTATAGGAGCTAGGAGCTAGGAGCTAGGAGGCAGGGCAAGGATTGATAATTGGTGAAGCGCGTGGGTAATGCAACGCGGAAGGCTAGGGGCTACGGGCTAGGGGCTAGGGGCTAGGAATATGGCGGGGATCGTGGAGATGGGGTGCCGATGAGGGCGATGATGCTGAGGGGGGTTGCGAGGGGCGAGGAGGAGAGCAAGGGCGGGGAAGAGGGGGTTGCAGGATGATGGGTAGGAGGAAAGGGGGTAGGACACGGTGGAACTCAAAGAGGCTGGCGGCCCGCCCTCCCCAGACAAATCCGCCCCCCTCCCCCTCTCCCCCCCGCCGCCCCCACCCGCCGCGCCATTCCCGCCTCAGGAGACTGACGACTCAGGGTTGTCGTGGGCGGGGGGCGCGGAGGAGGAGGACACCGAGGAGGAACCATCTAACGGCTTTTCGGTCATTCCGCTGCCCCTCGGGTTCGCATTGATGGTGGTTTCGCCTCAGCGCCTCAGCACATGTCACGCTCCAGCTCCTGATGTGGGCGGGGGGCTTCAGAGTTGCGCGGTCTCGTTAGCGCGCGCGCGCTTTTCGAATTGCGCTTTCGGCTCGGCGCCAGCCTCGCCCCTGCCACTCTGCTGCCCTGCAGCCGCGTGTTGCGATTGCCACTCTTCTGCATCCCCCTGGCGGTGGCTGCGCGGTTGACCCCCCCCCCCCCCCCGCCATGCACACATACTTTGCGCAGCTCGTGCGTCGAATTCGTCGGCGACGTGCGCGCTGCCCGCCCGCTTATGCGGAAACGTGTCTGCGGCGGGCGGCCGCCGCATACTGTATGTTTCGCGCGCGCGTTAAATTCTCAACGCTTCGTGCAACGTGTAACCCGACCTGCATATTCAGAAGCCATGCCCATGAGAGCTGACGGGGAATGTCAAGAAGGGACACATATAATGAACCAAAGTGGGCAATGAGAGAAGAGTGGTCAGGGTGTTGGAATGTTGGAGCCCTCTCTGAGCTCTTTTGGAAGGTCTCTGGGCCTTCTTGGGATTCTTGGGCGGGCGGGGGGGGGGGGGGTGCATCGGGGCCCTCTTGATGCCCTTCTGTGGCTCTCTTTTGGGCTTTTTGGGAGCCCTGGAGGACCTCTTGGGGCTGTCGTGGAGGGTGTCGGTTAGAAGATATGGCGTCTTCCCGTGGTGTCCCCCTCTGGGGCAATCAAGATAGCCCCTTGGGACGTTCTTGGGCCTCTGTTGGGGCGCTATTGGGCGCTCTTGGGGCCGTCACAGGGCATAGGGCCTCTTGGGCTCTTCTTGGGGCTTTCTTATGCCATCTTAAGGCTTGAGAAGCGCATCGGGAGAGAAACGGCGAGAGAGCAAACATGATAACACTTTCTTGCGTTTGTTGAAGGTCTGGAGTCTTGGCTTCTCGGGGAGGTCCTGAGGGGTCTGCAAAAGCACCTTCAACCGTCTTGTGTCTTGTGGCCCTCTTAAGGCCTTTTGGAAGCATGGTGGAGCTCATCTTGAGCGACCTTACACTGTCTTGAGCCATCTTGGAGGCCATCGATGAGCCCTCTTGGAGCCATCTATGGGCATCTTGTGCGCCCCACCCCCTCGCGGGGACCCCCGTCCAGGTCCAGGGGAGGGGGTATGGGGAGGGGTAAACCCGTCCCCGAAGGGGAAGAAGGGGTTGTGGAAGAGGAACCAGGAACATCGTTAAACCGCCTGTCGCCCAAATGGCTGGCGGGATTTTAGCGGCTGGTGGCTGCGGGCAGAAGTGCCTTGGGTGTTGGCTTGAGGCTTGAATTTGATGTGCACGTATTTCGATAGTTCGGCATTTTTTGGCTTAAGCTTTCGGTAGTAGGTAGTAGGTGGTAGGTTTTAAGTGCTGCGATTACGCGTCGGGCGTAGGCTTAGACTGGGCCCCCTTGTAGGTGTAGGTGCGTAGGTTTTGTAGGGCTTGCCACGGCGCCACCAGCCGTGTACATGCAATGCAATGTAGGGTCTCAGCGAGCGCTTTGCATTTATCGCGCTCATGTTTGTTTCTTGTAGCTTGTAGCTTGTAGCGTGTAGCCAGCGCTGGCCGCTGGCGAACATTTGCTGCCCGCGTTGTCCTTGCTGCGGCCCCGACGCAGATGCGCGGAAAGGCGCGCGGCAGGTGTTGTCATGAAAATCTCGAGCCCGCCAGTGCCTAAGACAGCGCGTGCGCCCGCTGTTGCGCGCGGTTTGTTGTTAGGTCTGGCAATGGTAGGCTTGTCATCAGCGCTGGCAGGCACTCACGCAAGCACGCTAGTCGCTAGTATACTGCGCTGCGCTGCCATTATTTCACGCGCGCGGTGTTGGTTCACAAGTCGATGCGCCGCGCAGCGCCGCGTCGCCGTATGCGGCATGCTTACAGGCATCCGCGGCGTGGGGAACATTTTCTGAATATGCAGCTTCACCTTGCCGTTCTTGCGCGCTGGTGCATCAACGCATTCGCCTGGCGGAAGTTGCATTGTATGAGCCGTTGATGTTGGGCCGTGGGCCCTGCGGCAATTCGGCAAATGGCTCGCGCGCCCCAGCCACCAGCATCCCAGCAGCTCAATGGGTCGCGCGCCCCAACTCCCAGCAGCTGGGCTGCGCGCGGGGCCGCGCCGCGTAGTTCCCGCCCACCTGGCGGCGCGAATTTCCTCTGGCTGCAAGAGCACTTGCGCTTGCGACGGGCCAGCTGGCCAGCTGGCCAGCTGCTGGCTATGGGCTATGGTTTGGGCGTCTCGATCGGTTTGTGTTTGCGCCCAGGCGCGTTGTTTGCAGCGTGGCCTGCGCGTCTGTTCATGGTTCAACTGTCAATGTTGAGCATGATGGCGTTGGCGATCGTTTACTTGCCCGACCGCGGCCTGAGTTATGAGTGGCGCCATTGGCTTCGGGCATTATCGAAGCGCGGGTTCTTGGTCCTCGGCTGCCCTGCAGTCGCGGCAGGCCCGAGGTCAGAGGTGATTTGGTTATAGATTCGATGGGCGGGCATGTGCGGGCTCGCCATTTCGGGGCCGCGCGCTTTTGCACCTGCCGCGGCACATTCGGCGGGCGGTATGGGCGCGCGATTGCCGTGAGAGCT